TCAACCAGTAGATTATCTAACTCTTCAATTTGTCCCGGGGGCAACTGAAGTGTCAACTGAACACAGCTCCTTCGCCACATCTGACAGGAACTCTGCTGCCCGCCGCACTGAAGCCCCACTGGACACCGGGGACAGATCCACACCAGCTCTCCAGGTAGGGAGGCTGGGTGGACATTTAATAATAATTTGTATGTATGTCTGTAAGTATGTGTGTGTCTGAATGTGTATTTGTCTGTAAGTGTGTGTGTGTGTCTGTAAGTGTGTGTGTCTGAGTGTGTGTGTATGTGTGTCTGTAAGTGCATGTGTCTGTAAGTGTATGTGTGTCTCAGTGTGTGTGTCTGTATGTGTGTCTGAATGTGTGTGGATTCTGTGAGGTTTCTATGGCATAAACAAGACATAGGGCCCTTCAAAAGTTCAGAACTAGAAATACCAACCAAGACAATAGATTGGTATAACGTTCAGGCTGTGAACCTATATTTAGTTTTCTCAATGTGTCCATGGCCATCATGCAGTGCGAGCTGATGGCGGGCCTATTTTTTGCACAAAATTTACATCTGGCAGTCTGGAACAAAGTTCTGGGCTGACGAGATTACATGTGCCAGGGGTGTAACTAGCCCCAGCACAAAAGAGCAAATATTTTATGTGCAGAGATTCAAGCTGAAACACTGCACATACAGACTCCTACCAACATGACCACTTCTAAAAGCATAATAATCATTAAATGTGATACGCTAGGCACCTTAACCACTTTCTCTCACTCAGCTTACTTATTTTGAATAATTTAGCACTGAATGTGGGTGTCCAGGCAAATACAGCGGAATCATTAGCATGAGCATCGATGGGTAGCAGTGATAGTGTCAACTGAACTCTCTCTATCACTGCCACCCATTGCTGGTATGGATTTGTAAGGCTAATGCAGAGGTGCAGTCCACCTTAGCCATACCTCCAGTGAAGACAGAGCAAGGGGGAATCTGGGAACTGCATTATTATTATTATTATTATTATTATTTTATTATTTATATAGAGTCATCAAATTCCATAACGCTGTACAATGGGTGGACTAACAGACACATAATTGTAACCAGACAAGTGGACATACAGGAACAGAGGGGTTGAGTGTCCTACTCAATGAGCTTACATACTAGAGGGAGTGGGGTAAAGTGACACAAAGGGTAAAAGTAGGGGTGTAAAGTAGGTTGTTAGAAAAGTATACACTGAGGGCTTAGTAGGTAGTTTTTGACAGTTGCAGGAAAGGAGTTATTGGGGACAGGGGATGGAAACCTGCTAACAGTTTAATGATATGCTTTCCTGAAGAAGTGAGTTTTCAATTATTTTTTTGAAAGAGTGGAGACTGGGTGAAAGTCTAACGGAGAAGGGAAGGATGTTCCACAGAAAAGGTGCAGCCCTGGAGAAGTCTTGAAGGCGAACATCAAAGGTGGGAGTTCGGACAGAGGATAGACGTAGGTCTTCGGCAAAGCACAGGGGCCTCAACTGGACATATTTGTGTCTTTGGGAGGATAGGTTGGTTGGAGCAGCATTATGTAGGGAATTGTAAGCAAGCACCAGAATCTTAAATTGAGCCCTATATCTTACTGGAAGCCAATGTGGAGACTGACAGAGCATTCTATGTCAAACTACCACTGAGTGGGATGGCACCAGGGGACTGCAGGCACCATAACCACTTTAATTCAATGAAGTGGTCATGATGCCTGTAATGTCCCTTTAATGTCTATAGCGATAATGGAAGTATTGTATTTTTGTCACTTGGAGTTTGCAGCCTTAAAGTTCTTGTGAGCCAAGAACCTTACTACTTAACATCGATAGTTTATAGCAGCTAGGCCCTCTGGGAGGTGATGTTTAACATTGATAACAATGCTTGTTGACTTTCCAATTTCTTGCAATTGTATTATTGGAGACAGATAATGTCATCCTTTCACTTTATTCTAAGATTCATGTTTCCTCTCATTGTTGATGTAAATTTTGCACTCTATTGTTAAATCATTATCTGTTCTATACCTCTTATATTTGGATTTCACTAAAAGTGATTTTTTATTTTTCTTTGTCTTTAGTCTGGAGGGAATATCACACAGAGATATGAAAAAAAAATAATAAATAAAAAAATAACAACTTAAATATAGAATGTTCTACATTCTGCAGGAAAATATTTCCAAAGAAGCAGGCATACTACAAGAGATGGATAGATGTCAGTCTAAGAGTAGAATAATGAATAATCTATCAGAATACAGAGTGGGTATGTCACTATTTAAATTGACACTCCACTGCCCAAATACAACATAACTTAAAAATCACTATTTAATAAACATACGCAAATGAAAACTTAGATGCCTTTAATTATATGTTTTTTAATTGGAAGTATATCTAAACACAGCCTGCGAAACCTGCATTTTTTTGTCTGCTGCCTTTGCAAGCCCTCCCCTTTTTTAACCCACCCCGACTATTTCAATTAGAAGTCTTTGCAAGGCAGGTGCTTATAGCAATTGCTGCCTCTTGAGCTTAGCTCCACCGAGCTAACCAAACCAGGAAGTAACAGGACCTGTTGTTTGCTTGAAATCCATGGGGGTGTAACCAGGTTTATTTATAAAAGTACCAATTTCTATTGAAATCTGCATTTTTTGCAAAATGAAAAAAGAGGACACAGTCTTCACACATAAAGCACTTTAGCAAGCTAAAGTGCTTAAGGGATCTGGAGTTTCCCTTTAAGATAACATTGGAGATCCAATACAATTTGTGGGATTTACTCCAGGTTTAACAGATAAGTATGGGCCAAAATCAATATTTCCTAGTTAGGGGGGAAGAATTAGACCAACCCACCTTTGTAGCTTATATATTTTATGTTTAATTGCCCCACTCCTTTAATTTGATTGACTTACCTTTCTTCCCGTAGAGGAAAATTGAGGGGGGTCCCAAATAATTTACTTGAATAACTTGCCATGTGTGGTTTTTACTGCTGTCAAACTCTTTGTCATTATATAATTACTTTGCATGTTGTGGAATTTTGTAATCACTGATTACATAAGATTGTAGCATGTCAAAGGTACAAGATATACAGAGAAAAATAGATTTTGCCTGCAGATAAAAAAAGATGACCCATCTACTATGGCCGTTCCATACCTGAAAAAGTACATGTTTTATTATGGGTTTTTTAAACTTTGTTTCATGCATAGCAGTGTGTCCGTGCCGGGTCTTTTTAAACAAAGATAATACAAACAGTTATTACAGACAGACTGCAGTGCACTGATCCACTTACTACGATACAGGGAAAACACTTTTTTATATTCATTCCCCCTCGGTACTTTCCTGTTCCAAACTGGATTTTCATTTTGTATGTTTTAAAGTAATTTAAGTAGTTTTGTAGATTGTGTGTGAATGTTTTTATGAGTGCGTGATTAAAAACTAAGGTTGTTGAGCTGATATGTTGCTTGTTGATCATAATCGATCTGCATTTTGACAGTCCATGTGTGTCCATCCCACCCTGCTGAACGTGCGCTATGTGAGAAGAGAGACACCGCTCTGGACTGTGAGGAGCCTTGTGTTTTGTCCATCTTAAAAACCTGTGCCATCTTCTGTATTATTAGATCACTCATAGGGCTGTGTAAAAGAAAGTCCCAACAAGTCCTCATGGGAACTTTCAGCTATCTCTGTTACCCCACTGAGGCGACACTCCTAATAAAAGAACGGTGCAGTTTATGAATGCATTATTGATAATAATGTTTTAAAAATGAAAAAGAAGACCATAAAATAAAAGGATACCCCCTATTTAAGCAGCTGTAAATCCACAAGTCTTCAGCTTGAGAATAACTGATATTTGCAGAGACCAGGTGTTTATGAGACATGAATAGCAGCAGTAGTTAGGGTAGATGATGTTGTAGTGATCCCTAGGTGATCTCATTTGTGCATTGACCCATTTTCCTTCATAAAAATATACCAAATTAATGCTTATGTGAGTGAATGAAAGCTGACAAGGCGGCCATATTGATACAGTCCATGGTTTGTGATTGTAAACACCCTCAAATTAACCCCTTAGACATTGGTTCCTTTCAAACACTTGAAGGTTCATTCACTAAATGTTTTAAATTTGATCCAATTCTCTTTTATTTGGCTAATGAAATTCCTCTGCGGTATAGTTTTTCCTCATCTACGAAGTGAAATTGCATTGAATAGGCCTCTGCTATTTTTAAATGAATCTCATTGCAAGATGGAGGATCGCTTGAAAACAGCTCAACAAAATTTCAGTCGAACGGCAGCAGAATTTTCCTGCTGTAAAATAAAAAGAGATATTGCTAAGGTTAGATTTAGGCCTGTGATGTTATTATACATTTAAGAGTGGTTAAGGGTGCACATCCCCTGGTCTCTCTTAGGGAAATTGGACCAACTAAATGAAGGGAATTTGGTTTCAATTTAGTTGTAATTCGGCTGTATGTAAATAGTCTAATTGTCAAATTGAGATATATAAACACATGGCTAATTTTTTGAGGTAACTGAACAGCAGCCAAATAGAATTGCACATTTGATTGAAATAACTATATTTGCTTTTTGTAAGTAATTGTACATTTGGTTGACAAATGTCAAAATATCAACAACCGAATGGCATTTGGCTGCTGGAGTTCAAAGTCAAAACAAAACTGTCACTGTTCAAATAGTCACTAATTATTCTGCCATCTGCTATGTCTTATTTTAACCTGCTTTGCTATGATATACTTTTTTTTCCTGGATGCATGCAATACATCACTTGTAATTTTGAATGGTTGACTTTATAGATCATATGAAATATTTTACTTTATATTCTGTCTTTTCATGCAGACGAAGGAGAAGAAATCTTGCAAAATGACAACAGGGACCATTCCATATTTCTGCATGTCTCCTGCTGCCATTATAATCATTTCTAGCATCTGCTAAAGGAAAGAATGTCCAAACTGAGAGATTGGTCTACAGAGGATCACTGTATGCCCTTAAACAGTTAATTTTGTTCAACCCTCATCATGGGAGGATGTTTCTCCAAACCTAAACCAGGTGAGCTCATGTAAAAAACAGATTATTCATCACATGTCATACAGCCAAACACAATGACCTATATTAGGCTTAGAAACGCTCTGGGGCAACTGCTGGAAAGAATGTTAATTCCGCGCTCTTGCCGGGAGGATTAGAGAACGCTCTAGGTTACAACTAATCCTAAGGAAAAGTACACTTGACTTTCTTTAACATTTTGTACAATCGGCTGGAATAAAGACCTTTGCCATAATGAGCTTGGACTCTTGTACCCTGTTCTGTGTTGAAGTAGCCACAAGACCTTAAATTCCATCTCTGTTTGGTACTAAGAACAGCAGGACGTAGTGTAATGCTTGCATCGTTCTAGCAGCTGATACTGAATTCAAATAATGAATGAACTTAATTGGAAAGGATTTAGCTGGATTATTATTTTTTAATAAAAAAATCAAAATTGTCATTAAAATAGATTTATAATGCTGTTAACCCTTATTGTGATATCACAGTCTTTTTGTATAACATCACTGCTAGCAAATAACATTTTGTCATTCTCGAATTTTTTTTAAATTAAAGGACCACTATAGTGCCAGGAAAACATACTCGTTTTCTTGGCACTATAGTGCCCTGAGGGTGCCCCCCTTTTTTCCAGCGCCGGGCGGGGAGCTCTCCTCCGATCCTCCTCCTCTCCTCCCTTTCGGCTGAATGCGCACGCGCGGCAAGAGCCGCGCACGCATTCAGCCGGTCTCATAGGAAAGCATTTACAATACTTTCCTATGGACGCTTGCGTGTTCTCACTGTGATTTTCACAGGGAGAATCACGCAAGCGCCTCTAGCGGCTGTCAGTGAGACAGCCACTAGAGGATTTGGAGGCTGGATTAACCCTATTATAAACATAGCAGTTTCTCTGAAACTGCTATGTTTATAAAAAAAAAGGGTTAACCCTAGCTGGACCTGGCACCCAGACCACTTCATTAAGCTGAAGTGGTCTGGGTGCCTAGAGTGGTCCTTTAAATATATATATTTTAATATGTAATTTTGGACTAAGATCTATTACTGAAAGAATAGTAGGCATAGCAATTTTATCTTAATGGTGATAAATATGGGATATACTATACCATAAGATAGAGCCTTTTAGCTAAATACGTGGCAGGAATTTCCTGTTGTTTAATACTTCTAAATGCACTGTCTATAAATCACGTAGGAAACAATCTGTGTTGCATTTTCCAAATGGAGTTGTTTTTTTAATTTCCATTAAGCTAATAAATGCAGTTAACAGCTTACCAGTATGAATGAAATGTGTAACAAGCTGAGCTGCATGAACAATAAAAATAATAATAATAAAAACATGAATATATATATATACCACACAAAATAAAAATTGTGCACTCCAGGTCTAAAGGGCTGACTTGTTGCCTGGTGCTAAATTCCTACAAATCTAGAAAAAGAACACCCTAAAGCATTGGTAGGAAACCTTTAATCCCTTAAGGACCAAATTTATGGAATAAAATGGAATTATTACATGTCACACATGTCATGTGTCCTTAAGGGGTTAAAGGGTCACTCCAGACCCCTAAACAACTTTAGAAAAACTTTATGTGTGTAGAGTGTGTCCTCTTTTTTTCATTTTGCAAAAAGTGCAGATTTCAATATAAATTGACACTTTTATAAATTAGTATATGGTATAGGGCTATTCCAAGACTTTAACATCCCAAGAAATGCCTTCAAAAGTGTACTTGGTGTGCCTTCTTGCTTCAATGCTTGGTGAATATAAATCTCATAAAAAACAAGGTGCAAAAAAAAAAAAAAAATGGATGAAATGACTGTATGAATAAAGAGTAAAAAAAAGCATTTATTACTTACATCAAAGTAAATAATAGCAGATATATGGATATATAGCTGCTTGTGGAATTGTGTGTGAGCAAAAATCAAATGTGAGAAAGGCTGAACTTGATGGATGCATGTCTGTTTTCAGCGATGTAACTATGTAACCTCTACTAAAAAGGTAGGGCCTTTCAGTTTATATTGCTAAGTTGCATGTCCTGTAATGGTAGGTGAGAACACTTTTTATCGTTGGTACCATGACATTTTTAAACAGCATTTCTTGAGTAAATTACAATAAGTCAGCATTGTTTGCTCCACTTTTAGAACATCAACTCTGAATGTGTTCTTTAAAGGAACTATTCACTGACAGTTTTAACAATTCAATATATATAACCACAAAGAAACATGCATTTATTTTTTTTTTCACGTGTTTTGTTTGGGGATATATATACCAAAATGCTTATAAATGCTGCAAACCTGCTGTCTGCAGCCTTTTCAAGCCCTTCCCTCTTTTAGGCAGTGCTGGGGAATACAGCTGTGAAAGGCTTTCCTATACTTCTAAATAAGCTGTAGTAGAGCTAAACTGAGAAGGCAACGGCAGGCACACGCTAGCACCGTGCACCTGCAGCCATGTGGAGTTAGCAGAAGCAAAAGAAAACCTCTCTTGAATGCTAAAGTGCTTTATGTGTCAGGAATGTTCCTTTAACAATGTGTCCCAACATAGAGTTTTGAAATTTAAAATTCATTTTGAATTCACTTTGAATTCTCACCTTAGTGAATAACCCTGATTGTTATTTAAACATACAAATCTATTTTGTTACAGCAGAGGTAAAAGTTGAAGTTGTTTTGCCAGAGAAAGAAAGGGAAAAAGAAGAGCTCTCACCCAATGGCAAAGCCAGTCCACTAGCCTACAAAACGAATGGAACGACAAGGCACTATCATCACGAGGAAAGGCCAATTGTCCTCAATCCATACACAAACCCCAAGGATGTGGTGGAAGCCTCAGTATGCCATGTGAAGGACCTGGAGAACGGACAGTAAGTGTGTCAATACGATTAGTTAGTTATTGTGTTGCAACAAAGAAAATGTGTATCAGGTATTACTTACTGTTGGGTTAGGATATAATTTCAGTTTCTGTCCAGTTCTGTTGAGAAATAAAAAAAAAATGTTGGGTTAATGTAGATTAAATAATATCAGAAATTAGTGACTGACAATTTCGTTTATTACTCTTGGCAGGGCCTAGGCTGTTACTGCAAAAGATTCTGTCAAGCAGATTATTGGCAGAGACAATCTTTCAAGTTAATTAAGCTTAATAGCAGCAGCAGCAGCAGCCTGCCCCCTGGCGGCCGTCTGAGTGGCCCAAAACAGAGAAGGGTCTTCAGGGGACGTGACCGCGAAATCCCTGGAACCGCTTTCGGGGTGAAAAGGCTGCGTCGGGCCGGTGGGTCCCCAGCGGCACTTGGCCGCGAAAGCGTGGAACCGTTTTCGGGTTGGAAACGTTGCGTTTTGCCGGTGGGTCTCCGTGAGGCGGTGAACCGCTTGCCTGCCTCCCAAGCGGCCCTGCTGCCTGCCTGCCCGCTCCCCTGCCTCCCAGCAGCGGTGGGACCGAAAGCCAGCCCCCTGGCGGCCGTCTGAGTGGCCCAAAACAGAGAAGGGGCTTCAGGGGACGTGACCGCGAAATCCCTGGAACCGCTTTCGGGGTGAAAAGGCTGCGTCGGGCCGGTGGGTCCCCAGCAGCACTTGGCCGCGAAAGCGTGGAACAGTTTTCGGGTTGGAAACGTTGCGTTTTGCCGGTGGGTCTCCGTGAGGCGGTGAACCGCTTGCCTGCCTCCCAGGCGGCCCTGCTGCCTGCCTGCCCGCTCCCCTGCCTCCCAGCAGCGGTGGGACCGAAAGCCAGCCCCCTGGCGGCCGTCTGAGTGGCCCAAAACAGAGAAGGGGCTTCAGGGGACGTGACCGCGAAATCCCTGGAACCGCTTTCAGGGTGAAAAGGCTGCGTCGGGCCGGTCGGTTCCCAGCGGCACTTGGCCGCGAAAGCATGGAACCGTTTTCGGCATGAAAAAGCCGCGTTTTGCCGGTGGTTCTCCAGCGGCACTTAGCCGCAAATCCATGGAACTATTTTCGGCCGCGGGAGCCTGGCGGTTACCGGTAAAAATGTGACTTCCGTAAAATTTCCGAACCGCTGGAGGGATCCGGCTGATTTTCGCACAGGGGGCTCCCCCAGGTGTGGGCTGTCAGGGGACGTGAGTTTTGCGGGGCACCCCGCGCCCCCGGCAGCGCCCCCCGGTGGCCGAAAACGATAGAGGGCGCCAGGGGCCTCCGCTCGCTCCCAGCCTCCCCGGGCCGGACGGGCAGGTGAAGGGAGCCTGCCCCGGGCACCCCGCGCCCTCCGTGGCGCCCCCCGGTGGCCGAAAACGAAAGAGGGCGCCAGGGGCCTCCGCTCGCTCCCAGCCTCCCGGGGCCGGATGGGCAGGTGAAGGGAGCCCGCCCCGGGCACCCCGGGGCCCCGGCGGCGCCCCCCGGTGGCCGAAAACGATAGAGGGCACCAGGGGCCCCCGCTCGCTCCCAGCCTCCCGGGGCCGGACGGGCAGGGGAAGGGAGCCCGCCCCGGGCACCCCACGCCCACGGCAGGGGTCGGACACCCTTAGGCGGGCTCCAGTTTCACGCGGTCTCAAACTCTGTCGGCTCGGGCGCCCACTTCGGGGAGATGGTGCCAGGCGTTTTACAAGTTCCCCCTCCCAGGCAGGGGACTCTGGCCGGTTCTCAGATGCCCAGGCAGAGTTCCAGGCCGACGGGAGGTTCTCCCCCTTTGTCGATGGGGGACTCTGGCCGCTTCTCCGATGCCCAGGCAGAGTTCCAGACCAACGGGCGCTTTCCCCCCTTGCCTGTCTGCCATCCGTAACTGTCCTCCTCGACCTCCCCGCGCCCCTGGGACTTCCCTGGGCAGGGGAAGGGGCGCCTGCCCCGGTGACCGCGCACCCCTAGTGGCGCCCCCCGGTGGACAGCGAAGGTAAAGCATCGCTCGAGCTAGGGAAATTTTCTAAGTCCCGCGAGCTCCAGGCCCGTCGCGTATGAGGTCGGATCTGCCCCTCCGCGTCCAAGCACCACTTCCGCGAGGTCGGACGCTTTTCCGGGCAGGTCCCCCTAAACGGCGCGCGTGCAGAAAGTGCACGACAATTGCCGGGGGCACCCTCGAGGAGATTTCCGAGGAGCGGAAATTTCGAATGTCAGTCAGGGGACTCTGGGTGGTTCTCCTATGCCCAGGCAGAGTTCCAGGCCGACGTGAGGATTTCCCCCTTGTCGGTCGGGGTGACTCTGGCCACTCCTCGGATGCCCAGGCAGAGTTCCAGGCCGTCGGGAGGTTTTCCCCCTTTGTCGGTTGGGGGACTCTGGCCGCTTCTCCGATGCCCAGGCAGAGTTCCAGGCCGTCGGGAGGTTTTCCCCCTTTGTCGGTTGGGGGACTCTGGCCGCTTCTCCGATGCCCAGGCAGAGTTCCAGGCCGACGGGAGGTTCTCCCCCTTTGTCAGTTGGGGGACTCTGGCCGCTTCTCCGATGCGCAGGCAGAGTTCCAGACCGACGGGCGCTTTCCTCCCTTGCCTGTCTGCCATCCGTAACTGTCCTCCTCGACCTCCCCGCGCCCCTGGGACTTCCCTGGGCAGGGGAAGGGGCGCCTGCCCCGGTGACCGCGCACCCCTAGTGGCGCCACCCGGTGGACAGCGAAGGTAAAGCGTCGCTCGAGCGAGGGAAATTTTCTATGTCCCGCGAGCTCCAGGCCCGTCGCGTATGAGGTCGGATCTGCCCCTCCGCGTCCAAGCACCACTTCCGCGAGGTCGGACGCTTTTCTGCTTGGGCCTAAAGAAGCATGGCCCTCGGGCCTTCCTCCCCAGCCTGGGGATGGAAGGTCAAGCTGGACAGGCTACAGGCAAGTCTGGCCTTTGGGGATGGCAAGGTGGATTCCAGGAGCCTGTCCTGGACTGAACACCAGGCCCTCTCCCGGCAAGTAAGGCAACATGTTGCACAATTGGAAGAGCTGGCGGGGGGGATGGCAAGCAAGCTCGCTGCCTGGAAGAAGGGAGTGGGGGTCCCCCAGGGAGCTACGGCCCACACCAGGGCCGATATCCAGCTGCTCTCTGGGTTGCTGGCAGAGTGTAAGGAACTTGCCAGCGAAGGCCTCCACTTCCTGGAGCGCCCCCCCCCGTCACTGGAAGCGGGAGAGGGTCCCGGGGAGGAGGTAGTCCCTGAGACCCCCCCTGAGGTGGCTAGTACCAGCGAGGCCCCTCAGGCCTCCCTCACCTATGCTGCGGCTGCAAAGGGTGAGGGGGTTGAGGCTAGGGCACTCAGAGGGCTGCCTTCTGACAGGCTCCGGGGTCTGCTTGTGTCCCTGAGGGCCCAGCACGCCGAAGCGGATTCGGGCCTTGCTGGGGTCCAGGCAGAGCTCAAGGAGCAGAGGGAGAAGTCTAGTAGGACCTCTAATCACAAGAGGGGTCCTATGAGGGCTATTATAGCTCAAAAAAAGATAGAGGAGCAGCGACTGTCTTACATCTTGCTCCAGACCAAATCTAAGATGGCAGACATCCAGGCCATCCTGCAACAGCGAGCCAAGGAGGCAACGCAATCCAGGAGGCAGAGGGCCCTTGGGGGTAGGAGGGACATGTCCCCAGGTGAGGAGTCCGGCAAGGATTCGGATTCCAACTCCCATCACTCACCTGGGGTGCCATGTACCTCTGCCCTTGCTACACCAGGGGGCGCAGCTGAGACGGAGAGGAAGGCCAGAGAGAAGGACAGTGAAGGAGAGTGGGAAGAAGAGAAGGGAGAAGAGTGGAAGCTGAGAGTGCAGGACAGGGGTCAAGGGCTGATTAAGGAGTCTCTCCTCAAGTTTGGAAACGAACTTGGGGAGGGCTCCGTGAAGGAAAGAAAGAAAAAGAAAAAGAACACCGCCCTGCGTCAGCCTGAGACCCCTGTCAGGGGGTCTGGAGATTCCACGGAGGAGGGTGAGTGCTCCCATGTGGAATATACGTATAATGAGGAGGCCTTCCCGGCCTTGCAGACACCTGGGGCCAGGGATACTAACCCCACAGGTGGCAACACCTGTGTGCCCCAGGAGTCTGCCCGCCCTGCCTCTGTGGAAGTACCTGGACCCCCCACCGCCCTCCATGGTGACAGGGAGACCATCCCCGCCGGTACTATGGCGAGTACCGGTGATCCCATGGAGGGGCCCTTCCCTCCCTCCCTTCCCATTCCCTCCCTTCCCTGCCTTCCCTCTGACCTTCCTCTTCGTGTGGTTGCGCCCTCTGGGGTAGCTGGATCCTCTGCCTCCTGTCCTCAGGCGGCTGCTGGGCAGGATGGCACTGGATGGATCGGTCTGGAGCAAGGTGTGGCAGGCTGCTGCTCCATGAAAGGTGCTGCCTCAGTTCCCGGCGCTGTGCAGCCTGTTGGGGGGAAAGACGGTGCCGCTGGACCCTCCATGAAAGCTGCCCCTGCTGTGGGGTGGCCCGGTGGGGGGAATAGCGGCGCCGTTGGACCTTCCATGAAGGTTGCTGCAGCAGCTGGGGCTGTGCAGCACCAGAGCATGCACTCTGATGGCCCTCCTTCTCCCTCTGCTCCCCCAGTGGGTTATCAACTGGTTTCCCCTGTTTGTCAGTCTCCTCCCCTGTTTGTTTCCCAGCCTGCTTCCCCACGTGTGTCACAAGTATGTCTCCCTGTCTGCTCCCCCATGTGTGCCCCTTCATGTAAATAATGTTGGTGTTGTGGGTACCTCTGGTGCCGGTGGTGCCGCGGGTGCCGCGGGTGCCGGTTCCGCGTGTGCCCTGGGTGCCGCGGGTGCCGGTTCCGCGGGTGCCGGTGGTGCCCTGGGTGCCGCGGGTACCGGTTCCGCTGGTGCCCTGGGTGCCGCGGGTGCCGGTTCCGCGGGTGCCCTGGGTGCCGCGGGTGCCGGTTCCGCGGGTGCCGGTGGTGCCCTGGGTGCCGCGGGTGCCGGTTCCGCGGGTGCCGGTGGTGCCCTGGGTGCCGCGGGTGCCGGTTCCGCGGGTGCCCTGGGTGCCGCGGGTGCCGGTTCCGCGGGTGCCGGTGGTGCCCTGGGTGCCGCGGGTGCCGGTTCCGTGGGTGCCCGGGGTGCCGCGGGTGCCGCGGGTGCCGCGAGTGGGAGTAACTCCCATCATGCCCAGCCAGCCATCCTACCTGAGAGGACCACCGGTGGAGGTAAGAAATGTGTTAATACCTTGCAGTTTGGCTCCACTGGTGGTTTGGGGATGGCTGGGGATGATGGGAGTGGCCGCGGCAGCACTGCTGTTGCTGCTATAGTGGGACCCACTGACCTTATTGAACAGGTCCACAGCCAGGCTTGTAATACAAATGTGACTCCTCCTCCTGATATTGTTGCTGGTGCCTCCCACAGTAATGTTGCCCCCCCTGGTCCTGTTGCCCCCTCCGGTTCTGTTGCCCCCCCAGGTTCTGTTGCCCCCCAGGTTCTATTGCCCCCCTTGGTTCTATTGCCCCCCTGGTTCTATTGCCCCCCCTGGTTCTGTTACCCCCTCAGGTTCTGTTGCCCCCCCTGGTTCTGTTGTCCCCCCTGGTTCTGTTGCCCCCTCAGGTTATGTTGCCCCTTCCCTTGGTACGGTTGCCCCCTCCCCTGGTTACGTGGGTGCACAGGTGGCGGGCACAAGCACGGGCACTGACACCCTAGTAAAGGGTGCCAAAAAGGTTGTAAATAGTATAGATACACAGTTAGGTACACAGGTGCCCCTTAGGCACTCCCAGATTGCCACCCCGGGTCCTGGTGTGACCGGGGCCTCTACTGGTCCTGCGGGGGGAGTCCGCCCCACCCCTTCCCAGACGGCGGGTCCCAGCGTGCCCAATGCTTGGGCATCTGGGCCACCTCGCCTCCCGGCGGGCGGGCCTGCTGCGCGTCCTCAGGTTTCCTTTGGGAACAGGAGGAACGTAGTGCGGCTCGTCTTTGGGGGTGAGACCCAGGTGCCTGACAGAAGGTGGCTGGTGGCCCGTCTGAAGGATATGGGGTTTGCGCCCGTGGACCTGTACGCACTCATCCATGCCTCGGGCACCCGGGAGTTCGACGTCTCCTTTATGACGTCGCAGCTCCTGGATCGCTTCTGGGCTGGATGGGAGGCGGCCAGGTCTGCACAGGGTTCAAAGTGGGCCGGATTCACCGCTGTGGCTATTTCTCGCCAGGGTCTTAAGAAAGTTACGTTCCTGGTGAGAAATGAGTCCATCCCCATAGCGGATATCCTCGTATGGACCAAGAGATTTGGGGATGTTAAATCCCCCCCTGTTAAGATTCTAGATGAGGATGGGATATGGACAGGCGGATGGACTGTTTCTGTGTTGCTGCGAGAGATTCGAGGTGTCACGCAGCACATGCCTAACAGTTTTTTCATCGGGGCTGACCGGGTATCTTGTTTTTACCCTGGTCAGCCCAGGGTGTGCCATAAGTGCGGATCGTACAGGCATTTCAGTAATGCCTGTACGGTCCTCAAATGCACTATGTGCGGCGCTGTGGGGCACCTCCGGGACAGCTGCGGGGAGATCCGGTGTCATCTGTGTTCAGAGATGGGTCACACGTACCGCACCTGCCCCGAAGCCCAGCACAATGTAGAGTCCATTTGGAGTCAGGAGCCGGTGGAGATGGAGGAGATGGACTCTGCTGGGTTAGGGGTTCAGGTAGCGAAGCCATCTGCGGTGCCCATCTCTGGCACGGGGATCTCCCTGCCCCAGCAACAACCCATCCTCCCCTCGGTCTCAGTGCCATCTCGGGGCCCTGGGGTGGCAACTAGTTCACGCCCCCCCACGAAAAGTGTAGATAGAGTTGGCAAATCCCCCACAGCCATTATGGCTCCCCCTAGGCTCCCTCCCCCTAGGCCCCCCCCCTCCCAAACCCTCCACGGTGAAGGTTACCCCCCCTGCAAAGTCCTCAGATGCACGACCTTTAGATGCACAGTCCCTAGAGTGGAGCACGGTGAGGAAGGGAAAGCATCCCCCTCCCTCCAAGACCTCGGCGCTGCCCACGCCCCGGACGACCGCCGACCCCCCTGCGGCAAAACCCCCGAAAGGGGGGGACGCCACTTCTAAGGGGGGTAAGGCAAAGGGGTCTTCCTCCTCTTCGTGCTTGCAGGAGGCCCCAGTGCCCGTATCTAATAGGTACGAGGCACTGTCTACCAGCTGGGCCGACTGTGAGCTCGAGGAGGAGATGGCGAACCTCCCCGGGGTGGGGGCAGAAGTTGAGGTCGGACAGGAGGTACCTCTGAGAGACGACGGGCCACTATATCCCGGCGTCTCAGTGAAGAGGTACTGCTCCGACACGGAGGAGGAGGGGGATAACAGAAAGAAGGGAAAGTCTCCTTGTGCTTAATACCCTTATGGCGACATTTCCCATACTCTCTGTGGCTACGGTGAATGTTAATAGCATTAAGTCCAGCAGGGCCCGCTTTCTGGTTTTTGACCACCTCAGCCGGGCTCCGTACAATGCCATCCTAGTACAGGAGACCCGGCTGGAAACCCTTGCGGCCCTGCACGCTGCAAAGCGGGACTGGAGATGGGGGCCCTCCTACTTCTCTCTAGCCACAGAGAGATATGGGGGAATCGCCATCCTATTTAAGGAAGTTGATGTTCGCATCAACAGGGTTATTGAGTTGCAGAAAGGACGTTGTGTGGTTTTAGATGTGTCACTGGGCAGGCAACCTCTCAGGATGATTAACATCTATGGCCCCCAAACCAAGTGGGAGAGGAAGCGCCTGTTTAGTGAGATAGAGCCTTACCTCTATACATCCCAGCAAATCCTGTTTGGCGGTGATTTCAACACCATTACTAGGCCTCAAGACAGGAGAGGCGCCACTCAGAGGCTGGGGTACGACTCCATTTTTTTAAACAAGATGGTTAGTCAGGCTGGATTGGTCGATGTGTACCTTCATCACACTCCCAATCCCACGGGTGGGTACACGTATCACCGAGGTAGCTGTCAGAGTAGGATAGATAGGTTTTTCTTTAAGGAGAATTTCCCGGTGACGGCACCCGTGCTTACGCCGGTGGAGTTCTCCGACCATCACATTTTGTCTTGCGAGTTGAACGTCCACAGTACCCCACCTAAAGGTAGAGGGATCTGGCGGCTAAATTCAGACCTCCTGGTGGAACAGAGGGTTCAGCAAGCCTTCATGGAATTCTTTCACGATCAGATGACATTGGCCGATTTAGGCCAAACGAAGTCTGAGTGGTGGGAGATGGTGAAGGCCAGAACTCGAGGGCTGTTTCGCAATCTCGCCCGAAACATGCAGTCCTCTAGGTATAAGATGTATCTGAGCTTGCTTGGGAGGTTGGATGTCTTGATCTCGCGGGGAGGTGACCCTGAGGACATTGCGGCGGTCAAGTCCCTGATGAGGAGTTATCAGTATGATAGGTACGCCTCCCTTGTAAAGGAGAGGGATCATGGGTCTTACCACTCGCCCGATCCTTATCTGAGTTGCAAGCGGAAGGAAGGTACCAAAACTATCGCTGGTCTGCGGGGCACCGACGGGATCCTTGAGGAGTCTCCTCACGGGATTCTGAAGGTGGTCCGCGACTTCTATATTGAGCTCCTCGGTAAGGGCAGCCCCCAATGTGCCGAGGGGGGAACATCACGTAGGAGAGAGATTGATAACTTCTTAAGCGAGCTCACCCTCCCTGAGCATAGCGACCTTTCTTTTGACGAGTTGGTCAGCGAGATCACCATAGAAGAGGTCACAGAGAGTATCCAGCAGCAGAACAAGTGTAAGTCGCCAGGTCCTGATGGTCTGACGGCTGAGTTTTACCAACAGTTCTGCGACCTCTTGGCCCCTCATTTAACCGAGGTGTTTAATGAGAGCTTAGCTCAAGGATTATTGCCACCCTCGATGAGGACTTCTGCCCTGATCTTGCTGACCAAGCCGAACGTGCTCGACACAGCGGATGTGGGGAACTGGCGCCCCATATCCCTGTTAAATGTCGACAGGAAGGTCCTGGCAAAAATTTTGATGAAACGGGTACAGGGCCTGGCGAGGCGTATCCTATCCACCTCCCAGTACTGTACAATCGGGGGACGAACTGTCTTCGATGCCGTTTTCGAGGTCAGGGAAGCTCTCGAGAAGTGCAGGGCCGGAGGAAGGGGGATATACCTTCTGGCACTTGATCAGTCCAAAGCTTTTGATCGGGTCGATCACCGTTATCTGTGGTCAGTCTTGCGGAAGTATGGCTTGCCGGGTAAATTTATCAATTGGGTCATCACCTTGTACAGAGGGGCCGAGAGCTTCGCTCTTGTGAACGGGTGGAGGGGCAGAACGTTTAGGATCCGATCCGGGGTCCGGCAAGGCTGTCCCCTCAGCCCGCTCCTGTACGTGTTTGCAGTCGATCCCTTCATCCGAAGGGTCGAGGCGAGCACGTTGCAGGGAGTGGCCAGGGCTCCGGAGAGGCCTTTACGGGTAGTCGCCTACGCAGATGACATCTCCATTGTGGTCTCCGATACACAGGAGGCCACGGAGGTGGATGATTTAATCTCAGCGTATTCTGCCGCTTCAACCTCTCGTGTCAACAGGGACAAGAGCGGAGTTTTCTGGTGCGGGAAGGAAGGGGACCAGTTCCCTCTTCCAGACGGTTTCCCGCGGGCCCAGTCTGAAATTAAAATCTTGGGGGTGATGTTCGGACCAGGGGATCTGGCTCT